TGAACTCAGGTCTTCCAGCAGCTTGCCTCGGGCCCTGTAGGCACCCTCACCACTCGCCTACTCTCCTGCTTCATTTACTGTGGTCAAAGAGAGATGTGGGATCAAGGTCTCAACACTGAGACAGTGACTAAGTGTCACCAAGGACTTAGGTAGTGGTCAGTACAGTACCCACTAACTGCCTGTAGCTATTGAAGTTTTGCCTTTAATCCACTAAAATTAAATAAAGTTACAATTCACTCTGTGGCTGTACTGGCCACAGTGCTTCTCATTTACCTGTCCATAGTGGGCTCTCTGAGGAGGGGAGCTGAATTATATTTACCTCTGTGTCTTCCTCAGTGAAATACATACAGGATGAATGTTTAGATTTTAAAATTTTATTATAATAAAAGACCTCTTGCCAAGAATCCTCCTCGAGCTACTCCTCTGTGTTTTGAACACATTTATCTCCTCATTACTGCTACTTTCTGAAGCAATTCTGGAAGTTCTCTTTTGTGAGTGCCGTTAGGAGGCATGATCAAAAATATAGTGAAAAGGGCCAGGGAGATAGCTCAGTGGAGTAAGTGCTTCCCTGGTAAATGCAAGGTCCTGAGTTTGGTCCCTGGTACCACAAAAAGAAGAAAAAAAAAAAAAAAAAAACAGTGGATTCTGCTGCTGTGTACCATCCAATAAAAAAGCAGGCTCAAGACATTGCAGTGTTGCAGGGTGTGCTGGTGCACACATGTGATCCCAGCACTCGGGAGGCGGAGGCAGGAGGATCATTGAGAGTTTGAGACCAGCCTGTACTGCAAAGTGAGCCCAAGGCCAGCCTGAACTGCATAGTGAGACCTTTTCTCAAAAAGACAAAAAAAAAAAAGACATTGCAGTGTGTCCTCATCCACCTTATTCACTGGGCTGATACTCGGCAACTTCTGGTTCTTTCCCAAAGTCAAAATGATGAGGAAAGGGAAGTATTTAGAATCAAATGAGGACACTGAGACAGCCGGATCAACACAACTAAAAACACAAAAGAGGACTTCCAGAACGGCTTCAGAAAATGTCCAGAGCAGTGGGGTACATGTGCTCAAAGCAAGGCAGTGTTTTGAGGGGGATTAATGACAATGTGTCTTTTGCTATAATAATTTTTAGATTTAAATATCCATCATGTCTTAGATTGTACTTCATATATGCATAGTACATATATATCTTCAAAGTATGGTTCTTTGCACAAAATAAGCATAGTATTTACTTATTAAACAAGTCTGCATGTCATGATATTGCACAGCACTGCTGTGAGCAGCTGGCCATAAGAATAACCCAACAGTGCAAGGCAGCGCAACTCCCGGAGGCTGGATCTGGTTGCCCGTCGTGCTCCTTTCCCACAAGTGCGTGCGTGCGTGTGTGTGTGTGTGTGTGTGTGTGTGTGTGTGATTTATTTGAAGAAAACTTTATAGCTGAGAAAAGTATGAACACTATGAATAGGGAACTGTCGCTACCCCTTTCCATCCTCTTGTCTGAAAGGGTGACCATGAGGCGAGACCGTTGGACTCTGTGAGGGGTCCCTGAACACACAGCTTAGCTGGACCAGAAGAGACGGAGCTGATAGGAAGCACTCCAGAAGCAGGGGAGGCCAGGTGGAGGGGAACCGGGCTCATTGCCCCACGGGAGCTGTGTTCTCGGGCCCAGCATGCTTGCTGCAGCTTTGGGGTTGTCATGTGCTTTGCTCTGGGCCAGCGCTGGGAGCACGGGGCTGGGCACAGCAGGCCTCCGCCTCCAGGAACCTGGCAAGAGAAGTCAGAGATACAGACAGATGATCGGGATGTGTCACAGTGAAAGCAACCACACAGACAGTGAATTCTGGGTGCTTCTGCAGTGCCAGGTGGGGCTCAGTACAGCTTGTCCTTACTGGCCACCATAAGAGTAATTACAGTGCTGTTCCTGTTCCTCAGATGAGGAAACTGAGACCCAGAAAATGGAGGGATGACCCCAGCACCTCATGAGTGGCCAGGCTAGGGCACAGACTGGGTCTGCAGGTCTTCGGAGGCTGCAGCTACAGCAGAGCTGGTGTTGAGCACAGAGAGGATGGATGCCGTCTCCCTCCTCCCTCACTCAGTGCCGCCTCCTCTCCAGCATCATGCTGCATTTCAGGGGGAGGCTGGGGGTCCAGCCACAGCCTCGGGCGGAGGTGCACCCCAAGCCAAGGCTCACAAAATGAGAGGGAAGAAGGCTCCAGGCTGAGTCCCCCTGGGGCTGACCTTCGGGAACACCAGCCTTTGGAGACAGGAAGTTTCCAATGTACGCAGGGAGTTGGGCAGGTGGAGACATGAAAAAGAAGCCTCTAGGTGTCTGGATTCAAGCCCTGCCTCTGCCTCCTACTCCCTGAGTGACTTTGGGCACTTTGCTTAACCTCTCTGATTCTTCATTTGTACATCGGGAACAGTAAGCACTCACACTTTGGCTGGCTGTAGAGACCCAATGAGCGGATATAGGTAGTGTTCAGAATTGTGGCTGGTGCCTGCCCTAGCTACTGGCTCCTGCGATCGACTCTGTAGACTCCCAGGACCACCCAGATCACTGGGGTGAGCCTACGGCACACAGGGGCTGTCTGTGTAACTGAAAGCTCTAAGAGCTTCGCCATCCCTGAACTAGACATCAGGAAGGCGACCAGGTTGAGAGCCTGGGTGTGGTGCCTGTTATGGAGGACATCACACGTGCTCAGAAAACGGAAGGAGGTGTGGTAGAGAGAGGAAGCAGGAGGCAGGAACAGGGGGTTTTGGCCCCACACTGCCTCATCAAGCGTGGTGGTACTGACCAGGTTTCCCCATCATGTGGACTGTGAGCCGAAATGGGCTTCTTATGCGTTATTCCTTTGTGACATCTTTACTTGGTATTAAACTGGAACAGCCTGTCTCCAGTGAGGTGAAAAGCAGAGAAGGATAAAACAGAAAATGGGTGCCTTGAGGCAGCTCTTGGTTTTCTCCTCTTCCTCCCTGATGCATAAATTGTCCTCAGGAAACCTGAGAGTGGATGATAAACACCGCCTGCCCTCCTTGGCTCCTGTCGCATTTCTCTCCCATCCATCAGATGAAATGACTTGGCTCTGAGAGCCATATTCTGCAAGAAATTCCAAAAGAGGTAAAGCTGGCGTGCAAACACTTCCCGGGGGAGTCGGCTTGGGATTTAGGGTTTGTCTCCGTGTTCAGAGGCCTTCTGGGCCCATGTCCCAACTCGGGTCCACAACCCTGTTCCTAAGCCAGCAGTTTTATTTCAAGCCACTCAGGGCTTTCCTCTTCTGGAATAAATGCGAATAGCCCAGATTCCCCGGGTAAACCTGTGAGCTTCGACACCTGGGTCCATGCCACTCGCTGGCTGCACCGCTCCAGAGGCCAGACCTGGCCTTCTGTCCAGAGCAAGCCCACGGTCTTTGGGGACCTGGGGGGCAGGCATGCAAGGGGAGTGTGGTTCTACCCTTCACAATCGTGTTCATTTTCCTTATGTCGTCCACACCTCAGTGACAAGGACTTCTGCTGTTTTGGTTTGGTTTGGGTTTGGGTTTGGGTTATGGTAACGGAAATGACATCCAGCGCCTCTGCCCTGAGCTAGGACCCCAGGCCTTGTTACTTTCCTAATTCTGTGACAAGGTCACCTTAAGTTGTCCAGGCAAGATTCAAACTTGTGATCTTCCTGCCTCAGTCTCCCAAGTAGCGGAAGTACAGGTGCACAGCACCACGGCCAGCTAAGGACCAGGACCGGATCTGTGTCACCTAGCAGTGTGTGATCAGTCCTTTACAGAGTCCCTTGTAAACATGTGATAGAAAAATGAAATCAAGTACCTGACAGTACAGTGCAGAGCGACCAGTAAACAAATGCGCTTGTAAGACAAAACACAGTACAGAGAGGGCGGCGCTGAGTGCTGGGGGCAGGTGTGCAGCTGGAGGGGCATGGAGATGTGCCGGAGGAGAAAGAGGAGGAGGAGGAGGAGGAGGGGGAGGAGGAGGAAGAGGAGGAGGAGGATTAGGAGGAGGAGGAGCAGGAGGAGGAGGAGGAGGAGGAAGAAGAAGAAGAGGAAGAGGAGGAAGAGGAGGCAGAGGCGGAGGAGGAGGAGGAGGAGGAGGTGAGCCCAGCATGGGACTGGGGGAGGGGGGCTCTCCACATGTATATGCCTCACGTGGTGTCCAACTGACTTGAGGCCTGTCCAGTGTGCCCAGTTGATAAATTTTACATTTTATAAAGCAATTGCACTGACATTCCCCATCATCCCTGACATCCTACCATGAATCATATTTCAGGGAAGAAAACACAGGGCCACTTCAGGCTTCAAGCAACCTTCAGAAGCTCTGTTACCTGGAAAACCTACTGGAAAGCATAGCGTGTGTGTGTGTGTGTGTGTGTGTGTGTGTGTGTGTGTGTGTTTGCATATGTACCCTTGACAAACTTTGAAGACTAAAACAGAAAGCAACCTTAAACATGTGCTTTGGAAGAAGGGTTCTGTTCAGGCAGAAACATGGGAAAATAAAGGACAGAAGAAGTTGCAGAAATTGACCCCTCCCTTCTCCCCTGAGCGGGACCAACTATAAACACCTAGCTTCTATAGCCCCCACCCAAGCCAGTTCCAAGTCTTAAAATTCATGGAGTACCACACAACAGTGACACGGGTGGGGTGGGGTGATGGAAAAGAGGAGATGGAGACAAGATGAAGTTTTCGTTGGATTTAGCTAATGACCTGACTAAGCCAAGCAGGGTGCAAGACCTAGATTAGCTATCTGCTCATGTCTGTTCATTTCACTTGGCTCTAGCTCCTTCCTGGCATACTGAGGCTAGTGCTCAGGATTCTGAGATCTAAAGCTACTTAGACTTGTGAGCCTCAGGGTCTGGAGTGACACTGGGCCCTCTCGTGCTGCCCCAGATGTGCCCTTCAGGGCCAGCTGAAGACACTTCCACCTGTGCAGCCCCAAGTTATGGCAAACATTAGAGCCCTCACCCTCCATTAATCCTCAACCTGTGTTTTCAATATGTGTGTACAGCTTCATCATACACAACAAAGACACTTTCTTCAACAATGCCACAAGAAGCAGAATCGTGCACCATATTTTACAAAGAATAAAGTATGAAGAAGGAAAAAACAAAATTGGTAAGTAGCACATTAGTACTACAAACTGCATTTGCTGTTTGGGGATTCAATTTCTTCTCTTATTTTCATTGTGTTTATGTCTATGCAAGAATTTATTGTGTGTAAAACCTCTAACTACTCCCTCGGTAGATCATTCACCAGTGTAAAATCTTCCTGGCATCTTAAACGTCTTCCTTAAGCCACACGTCATCTCACTGGTCTAGGATCATGGGGATTCTCTGAATTGAACAAGCATTTATGGGGCCTGTACTGTGTTCCAAGCACTGAGCTAGGGCCTTGAGGGGTAAGCTCAATTCTCTCCAGGAGCTTATGCTCAAGACTTTTCATTTTTAAATGAAGAAACAGTTAAGATAAGTAACATAAAGAAAGTATAGTGGGTGGTGTCACAGAGGCAGACTGGGAAAGCTGACAAGATTGGGAATACTCAGCCCTGAGCTAGTGGGGCCAGTGGAGAGAGGAGGGGTTGGGTATTTGAGACCCAGGAAGCGAGCAGAGACAAGAATTAGCACACCTGGGCTAATCATCTCCCCATTAGGGAGCCCCTACCATTTATATTTTAGGCATTTTTATGAGACTCCTTCCCTATTACCAAATTTCCTGCCTTATTAAACAGATTATCATGTATCAGGAAGCTTTGGGTGGCTTTATCCCTATCTCTATCCCAGCAAAAATTTTATTGATGGTTTTAATAATGACCTACATCATCAGCCAGGGTCCAGTGAAGAAATAAAAACACACATCATGGGAACAGAGAAAATTGAATTTAAATAATAAACCACAGCAGGGAGCTGGAGGCCTGGAAGATGAGCTGGCCAAGGGGAAGAGAAATGTGGGGGAATAGAACTGCAGATAGTAAGAGTCTCCCCTGACAAGTCAGACCATCTTGAGAAGGGGCAGCTCTGGTAGGACAAGTCTTGGAGGCCTACTAAGAACATGCTCGCTGAATACTGGGGAGCCCTCCTTGGTGCATCCTAGAGAAGTGCACTGGGGATGCTCCCCAGAATCTCTGGTCCATGACACCACCCAGGAGGTACCAGGACATATGGCCTTAGGGAGCTCCTTGCTGCCAGCCACCAAACACGGCAGGATCTGGGTGCTGTAGAAGCAGCTGGGCAGGTGCCTTGGAGAGAAGCATATTGCTCTTGAGGAGAGAAGCCCATCCCTCCGTCTGTGCCCTACCAGTTCCTGCAGCTGGCAAAGGAGAAATCACTGCCTTGTTGCGCAGCAGACAGTTGAGTTGCATGTGGAGCTGAAGGGCCACCAGCTTGTGACTGCTACATAGCCTAAATGGCTTCCCCATCAAGCCCTCGGGGGAGGTGGGCCAGAAGGATGCAGGAAAGGTGTTAGCCACTCAGTCAGGAGCCTCAGATACCTCAGCAAGCAGTGACTCTCAGCCCAGTGCAGAGTGGCATTTGCCAGCTGATAGGTGCCAAGTGCTATACTCAGATCTGGCAAAACAGCCCCCTCCGTCCAGTGTGGGAGAAATGTTGTTCAACAGCATCATGCTAAAAGCAGATTTGAATGCAAGCTGAACATGAGTCACTAACATAAAGAAGCTGGAAAAAAAAACAAAAACCAAAAACCTCCTTTAATTCCAAGCTGCATGAATTAAAATACGGTGGCTACCTAGAAACAGACAGCTGCCTGGAGTGCCTAAGAATACACCTGCACTGTCACGTTCAGGCCGAGTCACTGAGGTGGGCACAGTCAAGCCCTGATTGATGGAAGTCCTTCGCAACGTCAAGACGTTAGGGTTAAACACATCTCATCCTGCCTGCAGGAGACACCGGTCCTGGAGCCATGTTCTTGCCGTGAAGTCCTCTGTGGCCATTCCACAGCGAAGGAATTCTTGCTTCCTCTAAATTCCTGTGGTGATTTTTGCAAGTCACAAACTCTTCTTTGTCTTGAATAACTTTCCAAGACACCAGGAAGATCAGCCACCTAAGGAGAAGCACTGTGACCACGTTGCAGCGCTTGGGGCGCAGCTTAGTGAGGGAGCACTTGCCCCACAGGTGCAAGGGCCTAGGTGTAACCCCCACACCAAAAATCCTGTCCAAAATAATCCACATATTACGTGGATTACATTTTTATGTCGATTCTCATTCATTTGAATATTTTAAATAAACCTGGACTGTGCTATGCATAATTTTCTATCATATCTTTTCAGTTATGAATTTATTACCAAATGGGTGAATTGAAATTATTATGGCAGTGTCTATTCTGTATTATTTTGTAAAGTGCGAACAACTTACAAAGCAGTGCCTTGACCATTGGTGCTATTCTCATTGGCACTGTACTGCACCATTATGTGTGGAGAATCTCCTGCTGAAAACAACTAGCTAGATAATAAGTTCCAGAATAATGACTAAACAGTCTTTTTTCATCTTTGTAGCATCCTTGCCCATGCCAGTGTCTATACAGGAGTTCAATAAATGTGCATTAAACTGAACTGAAGGCCTTTTAAGGGAGATAGCTGTCTCACTCCCGCTCTCCTTACGCAGTCAATAACTGCACAGCGAGACCGTGTGGTGATTAGTAGACCTAAGGTTTGCCTCTCAAGAGGGAAACTGTTTTTGCAATTACTGGAGAGATAGAAGAAAGCAAGTGTTCTGAAAAGCCCTGGAAGAATGTTATCATTGCTAGCCCAGCCCAGTAAAAGATTATCACAATTGACAAACTAAAAAGGAGGATTCTATTCAAGGTCGTCCGTGCTTTGGAAGTTAGTAAGCATGAAATGGCAACATGTCGAATTAGAAAAAAAAAATCAAAGAATAAATTATCAACCCACAGTCACGTATTTTGCTGAAAAGTATAGACTAACACTATAAATTGTATGTTGATCTGATATTTCAGTGTCATCTTTAGTTTCAAAGAAGAAAATTCATTGATAGAATTAATGTTCCTCCATGTCACTTTCTGCCTGACATGTTCTGAAAGTGTCATCTCGAGTGTGTCAGCATTGATTAGAAATATCACAAAAAGATTGATGTTTAGACATGATCCCTAAGAGTATTTTAGTGGAACGTAAGATGGCCAATGTAAGTTTTCCACCTTTACTCTGAATTTAATACAACTGTGAGCATCAAACCTGATAAAACTCACCTTCAGAACAGAGCAACGAGTAGCTCAGTGAATACTTATGTAGCAGTACGTGTGTATTGACATTGATCTATATTTTCAAATTTGTATTCCGACGTTAAGTTAGTGAAGTGACAGATTTTAAGTATTAGCTACTTTCTCACTTTTCAGGACTTTGATGAATTATGATATACTTGCAAAGATCATTGTCGGAATCTCTTATTAAGTTCCTGTAAATCATATTTTTCTAATGTCCAGGATGTCTGAAAACTTTGACATGGATTAGTCAATAGAAACTCCAAGAAATCAAAGGTTTTTACATAATCAGTAATTTGTCCAGTCATTCTAAAGGTATTTATTGATGGTTTCCTGCATGCTAGACAAAATTTAAATCCCTACTTATATTTGTATTTAAAATGCCTTTCTTATATATTCACTGACAGTGTCAAGCAGCTTAGGCACATTAGTGTCACTGTCATTTAAAATATCTCAACACTGATTGCACTCATCACTTAAAAATACAGATCGGTGCATTTGTCACTTTCAGGTTAGGCTAAACCCCTGGATTCTGGTGAAGATTTAAAGTATAGAGAGTGTCCCACTTATAAGCCATGTGAGAGATAACAATCCAATGGCCCTCTTCAAGGTTTATGGTAGGAAATAACATAAATCTTAATCTGAAGGATACTTTAAAGATCAACACATTAAACTTCTACTTCCAGCCAAGATAGAGGAATAGGCACAAGATTTATCTTCCTGCCAAGAAAGGAGAGAGAGAGAGAGAGAGAGAGAGAGAGAGAGAGAGAGAGAGAGAGAGAGAGAGAGAGAACAAAACCACAGATTAAATGTATAAAATAATGATTTTGAAGCCACTGAATAGCAGAAAACCAAAAATAGAACTTTAAGGAAAAAAGCAACAGGATGCAGCTCCAGTTGACACAGTTATTACCTTAGTTCTTGGCAGTAGCACAAGGAGGGAGAACTTGGGCAGAACCCAGAGGATTCTCTGAGTTGAGAAAACATTGCTGAGGGTTCAGGGAGACCGAGGCAGCTCTCAGAGCAGAGTTCCAGAAGGTGGAGAGTAGCACAGGGCCACGCTGAAGATCTGTGGAGGGCTCCCCACCCCACTTTTAGACAGTGCTGGTCAGCACACAAGTGTGACACACTAACCCAAGGTGGGAGAGAACCATCCAAAAGGATTTCCCCAAGACTGAAACAGCACAGAATTCCCAGGAGAGTAAGCAATGTGCTCATTTTCATTGTCTTAATATTGAGGGTCCTTATTTCCTGGCATCAATAATGACAAGGACTACTTTCCATTAGACAAAGCAAGTCTCACCCACCACATGTATAAGGTGACACCCAATAGCATCAGTCTTTCTGAGTATCTGTGTCACAAAACAAAGCTCAAGGATATTTATAGGAACAAAATACATATTGGCAACAAAGGAAAACTCAGTGGGACAGCCAATAAGATTATCAGGCGTACAAATAAGAAGAGAAATCTCCATAAAGAGGAGAGAAACCCACCCAGCAGAACCTACTCAGAACAGATGTTATTATCAGAAAAAAGGAACACAAAAGCAGTTAGCCTTTTTAAAAGTAATGATTATAAATCTTCCAAATTGAATGAAAACCATAGGCCTACAGCTCTAATGAGCTCAAGAAACACTAAGTGTAAGAAATCAAAAGCAAGTAACACTAAAGCCTACATAACCAGCTTTTCTAAAATCTGAAATAAAAAAAAAATCTTCAAAGCAGCAAAAGCAGAAAAATGTGCTACACTCAAAATTGCAAAAATAACTTTTATAGAGATTGCTCCCTGGAAAGAATCAAATTAGATAACGATGGAGCGATGTCTTTAAGGTCAAAGAAAAAAAGTCAACCTAGGACTCTCAGTGAACATATTTCCAAGAACTGGA